CGTCCAGGGGAAGTAAAAATACTCCTAGCTGCCTCATGCTACAGAAACTAGGATAAGCTCCAGCAGCTATGAGCCAGTCGGTCCCAAGGCTTCATTTGTGAATGTGATTGGCTTACTGAACTGTCTAATAACAAACTGTCCGATAACAAACTGTCCGATAAGAACTTGACAACTGAATTAGTGGAAAATAGGATTTTTTAAACAATCACAATCGAGGAACTCGTATTTTTTGTGATTAAGCTTCTTAAACGAAGAAAAAAATGCGTACACACGTCCCGAGAAAAACATTGGCCAGTGCATGAAAGGGTTTTAAGAAAATCGTGGCTACACCAAATCTCCCACACATTCCTTGAAAGTCGAACGGGCCACCCCTAAGGCGCAAAGCTATGTGTAGTTCTTTGAAGACTGTTTAAAAGAAATCGACTTCATTTAGGGCTCTGAAATTCTTTTGCACTTTCATTACATGTCCTCCTCATCTTGCCTTCATGCTAACTCTAATAACACCACGTAATCTATGATCAGTCTTCCCTGGCTAGAGAAATGAGAAAAAATGCAGGTGCAGGTCTTACGAGTCTAGAAATAGCTAGAGATTGATTCCACATCATCGGAAGAGCTCTTTGCGCGCTCCTCTTTCTTTTCTTTTACGTCCTTTTGCTTAGCAGCAGTAAGCTGATGGCAGCAAGAACTGACGACAGAAACCTTTGGAAAACCGTGCCATTTATGATTTTAGATTAACTAACACTACTTGACAAAAGGTAACTAGAAATCTACAGTTGCTCTGATCCAGTTGCTGTATTTACGTCCCAGACCGAGCCTGTTTCTCCAACTGTTGCCCGCATCGTCGTCCCATTTCCGGCAGAATGCGACGGAAGGCATTCTGCAAGAGACCTTCCAGTACCAGTCTAGGGTCATTGCTATGAAAAGGAGTATATCCAAACAGTTAACATCATATTGAGGTAGCAAATGAAGGTCATTGCTGTCCAGTAGAAACTCGATAGACGCTTAGCTCCTCTTGCTTACTCTGCGAATCTGAAATACGTTGATTTGACTTTGACATGTTCGATGAAAGTCGAGACCAATCAGATGGTAGATTAAACCTTACAGACAATCGATCAATAGGGACTTGATGACTGGTCCCAAAGGAAACAGCGAGTTTTGTTTCCTCGAGACCCTCAACGTTGCCGAGCGGAAACAAAACTCACTGTAAACTCACTGTTTCACTAGAGGCCAGTCATTAAGAGTTGGTGAGTTTTGACCCACGA